CCACCATGTCTGGCTAATTTTCGTATTTTTAGCAGAGATGGGTGTTGGGGTTCAATCAGGCTGGTGGGAAAAATATTAAAAATAGAGTAATAGTCAAAAGCTGTCTTAAAGGCCTGAGTTTGTATAGCTTCAGATTGCTTGGCTGAAGGCAGCCAGGGTGCAGGAGCCAGAAAGATTAGGGTGCAAGTACAAAGGAATGTGGGAAGTTTATTTTACTAATCTGTTAGTTATGTGGGCTTAAGACTAAGTTTTGTGCTGCCATGGGTACTTTACTGCCTCCTACTCGGAGTTTGGCAGAAGCTTAATACCTGCAAATGGTGTTTGCTTTAGGCCTAGGAAACTGGCCTTTAATCTTTACCCACTAGTGATGTTTACGCACTTTTGTTAATTAGTCTTACTGAATAAATGCGAACCTCACTATCTGATCAGAGCCAAGTTGCAACTGTTTACAGAACTCACCTTGGAGCCTGTAAGCGGCTCGGATCCTCAGCTGGACTGGCAGAGTGGAATATGAAAGCGCTGCCTCAAGACGGGGTTTCACCATGTTGGCCAGGCTGGTCTTGAACTCCTGACCTCAGGCAATCCACCTGCCTTGGCCTCCCAAAGTGCTGGGATTACAGGCGTGAGCCACTGCACCTGGCCGTATTTTATTTTTCTGTATAATTTTTATTATGACCATAAAAATAAACCTGTAGTCAATAACAATTTGTACATTTAAAAATAATTAAAAATGTATAATTACACTGTAATTCAAAGGATAAATGCTAGAGGTGATGGATACCTTATTTACCCTAATGTAATTACTACATATTGTATGCCTGAATCAAAATATGCCATATAAGGCATAAATATATACACATACTATATACCCACAAATACTAATAATAAATTTCAATAAGAAAAAATAAAAATTTAAACTATGGGAACAATATTCTTCAACTCATTTGCAGTTGAAAGCCACTGGCAAAGTGACGACTAGAGATGTTATTCCACTATGCACCAAATAGTATATTGTTACCATCTTTTAAGTACACCCTTGATTAAGGTGGGATAGGTTAAAGTTAGTGGCATAATATTGCTTCATTAAACACACAATAGTCTTAACATGGCAAAAAAAAAAATAAAGTTCACACATAATTTAACAATTTTTATATGTACTGCATTCTATTACATAAAAGTACAATAAAATAATATTCTCATTTAATACTTTTAACTATAATTTTTCTCACTATAATGTAGAAAACTATTACTCTGAACCCCCACCTTATTATCTTTATTAATAAAGTGATTCATTATAATTTTTGAAAAAAAGTTTTAAAATGGTCTGCCAACATGTTAATGTAGGTTAGGCCATCCAAAAGACAAAGCAAAGCGTCAACATTAAGTCATAGGCTAGGATTATACAAATAGGAACCCCCACCTTATACATTACTTAATATAAGTTAACTACAAAGAGCCTCTCCACTGACATTTTCATCAGGCACCTTACATTTTAATGTCCTTACTCTTCTATAGAAAAAGTCATAATACCCAATAAAAAAAGAATCTGTAGTATCTCTAATGCAGCAATAATCACGTTTTCACATGTGAATACAATAGGAATAAAATAACAGCATAAAGAAATTTGAAAGCTGTATTACATCATTATTCACTTTTCAAATTTTTTTTTTGAGGAAACAAGTATACTTTCAATGTAATTACAATGCTTCAGAAAATCTCCTTTTAGAGTTATATACAAAAACAGTTTTAGTTGTGGATTCGTTTTTATATTCAACACTGATTTAGTGTAATGTCTGAAGTGTCAGTGCCTTAGTTATTCTAGTGTAAATTATTTGATATTTACATAGAATCAATTTTGAATTAAATATTTTTTCATATTTACTGCATCTGCAAAAATATTTTAGTATAAACTCTGTGGTGTTTTCTAAGCTATAGATTTTGAAAAAAAAGTCTTTACAAATTCATTATATTTGCAGGACTCTTCTCCAATATAAATTCCATGATGTTGAACAAAACTGGAGCAACTGCTTCAGGGTTTTCCTCTAGTACAAATGTGTGCAATAAGATCTGTGATACAAGTAAAGGTACTACAACCCCCTTTATATTTGTAATGGATGATTTCAGAATATTCTTCTTTAAAGGCTTATATTTTCTGAAAGTTTTTTTTTTTTTTTTCCCAAGCTGGAGTGCAGTGGCCGGATCTCAGCCCACTGCAAGCTCCACCTCCCGGGTTCACGCCATTCTCCTGCCTCAGCCTCCCTAGTAGCTGGGACTACAGGCGCCCGCCACCTCACCCAGCTAGTTTTTTGTATTTTTTTAGTAGAGACGGGGTTTCACCATGTTAGCCAGGATGGTCTCAATCTCCTGACCTCGTGATCCGCCTGTCTCGGCCTCCCAAAGTGCTTTGAGCCACCATGCCCGGCCTGAAAGATTTTTTGACAGTAATTGCACTTTTAATGCCTTTATTAACTGTGAACCTTCTTCTCTTGAATAAGATGTGAGTAGGCATTAATGGCTTTTCAACATTCTTTATATCTGTACAATTTTTCTCAAGGATAAAAGCTTTCCTGTGAAATAAAGTGTAAACACTCATTAAAAGTTTTGCCATATTCTTCACACTTCTAGGAGTTTTGGTAGCATTAATTCTCACATTTCATACATTTCTAAGGTTTCACACTAATTTATTTTTCTGTATACAAAAGTTGGAGGTGGTAAGCACTGTCGCATCTTTCAGGTTTGTAGAGTTCCTCTTCAGCATGAATTATCGCCATGTCTCTTAAGAATTGAGAACTTGTGGCCTGGCATGGTGGCTCATGCCTGTAATCCCAGCACTTTAAGGAGGCCGAGGTGGGTGGACCACCTGAGGTCAGGAGTTCGAGACCAGTCTGGCAAACACGGCAAAACCCCATCTCTACTAAAAATACAAACATGAGCTGGGCGTGGTGCTGGGCACCTGTAATCCCAGCTACTCGGCAGGCTGAGGCAGGAGAATGGCTTGAACCCAGGAGGCAGAAGTTACCATGAGCCGAGATCATGTCATTGCACTCCAGCCTGGGTGACAAGAGTGAAACTCAAACTTGTAGGGTTTCTGTCCAGTATAAATTATGTGTAATAAAAAGCTTTGTCACATTCTTTGTATTTGTAAGGTTTATGTTCCATATAAATTCTCATAGAGTCGAGGGCTGGTTAAAGGCTTTCCCACATTCATCAGGTTTCTCTCCAGTATGAATTATCTTATGCTTATTAAGGGTTGAGGAACATTTAAAAGATTTTCCACATTCTTTGCTATGTAGGGTTTCTGTCTAATATGAATTTTCTTATGTTTATTCAGGGCCGAGGACCAGTTAAAAGCTTTGCCACATTCTTCACATTTATAAGGTTTCTCTCCAGTATGAATTATCTTATGTTCAGTTAGAGTTGAGAATGCAGTAAAGGCTTTGCCACATTCTTCACACTTGTAGGGTTTCTCTCCAGTATGAGCTCTCTTATGTTTAGAGAGGCTTGAATACCATGTAAAGGTTTTGCCACATTCATCACATTTGTAGGGTACATCTCCAGTATGAATTCTCTTATGTTTAGTAAGGTTTGAAGAACGGTTAAAAGCTTTGCCACATTCCTCACACTTGTAGGGTTTCTCCCCAGTATGAATTATCTCATGTTTAGTAAGGGTTGAGGATGAAATAAAGGCTTTGCCACATTTATCACACTTGTATGGTTTCTCTCCAGTATGAATTTTCTTATGTGAAAAAAGGGTTGCGGGGTGGTTAAAAGATTTGCCACATTCTCTACATCTGTAGGGTTTCTCTCCAGTATGAATTATCTTATGTGTAGTAAGGTTACAGGACTGCTTATAGGCTTTGCCACATTCTTCACATTTGTAGGGTTTCTCTCCAGTATGAATTTTCTTATGTTTAGTAAAGATTGAGAACGTACTAAAGCCTTTGCCACATTCTTCACATTTGTAGGGTTTCTCTCCAGTATGAATTTTCTTATGTGTAGTAAGGTGCGAGGACTGCTTATAGGCTTTACCACATTCTTCACATTTGTAGCGTTTCTCTCCAGTATCAATTTTCTTATATGTAGTACGGGTTGAAGACTGGTTAAAAGCTTTCACATATTCTATACATTTAAAAGGCTTTTTTCCAGTATCTCTTATCCTTATCTTATGTCTGTTTGAATTTGAAAATTTAGGCAAGAATTTCACATATTCATCACAATGAAATATTTTTCTCTGGGTAGTTGTCAAACATTGTTTAAGTCCATTATAACCTCTTTTGTGTACTGGACACTCATCTACACTTTCACAGCCTTTTTTTAACTGTAAATTGTCATGTCCACATTTTTCATACCTTCTTAGTATCACTTTTTGGAAAGAATCTTTTATGCTCTGCTCTGACCAAACGTCTTGGGCAAAATGAGAACATATAACTGAAAGAAAAAAATAAAAACACATTAGTTCAATTGCTAGACTCAGATAAATACAAACCTAATCTATAAAATTATACAAACTACATAAGCAAGATGACATAGCAAAATACCACAAGCTGTAATTTCTTCCTGGACATATAAGTGTAACAAAAACATACTGACCAAAATACATTTGTAAAAAATTTATAAATGAGTTAAGTGTGTGAAGGACCCCACAATGCAAAGAGCCACATGGAAGAAAAGGAAAAGTCTATTACTTATACCCAACACAGCTCTTCCTGCTCTCCAGTATAACATTGTGCCTTTAAAAGTAAATTGTGGGCTGGGCACAGTAGCTCACATATGTGATGCCAGCACTTTGGGAGGCCCGAGGCAGGTGGATCATGAGGTCAACAGTTCAAGACTAACCTGGCCAAGATGGTGAAACCCCATCTCTACAAAAATACAAAAAATTAGCCAGGCATGGTAACAGGTACCTGTAATCCAGTTTCTTTGGAGGCTGAGGGAGGAGAATTGCTTGAACTGGAGGCAGAGATTGTAGTGAGCCAAGATCATGACATTGTACTCTAGCCTAGGTAACAGAGTAAGACTCTGTCTCACACATGCACACAAAAATGTAAATTGCCAACTCCTGGTTCCTTTTTTAAAAAACAAGAAAAATATTGGCACATACATCTTTATTTCTGGCTTCTAGGGGCTTTTTTAGATACTGGTTAATGTCTCCCACGACATGAAATGGTAATATACGTTGGAATGACACTTTGAGTCTAAAGGTAAATGTTACAGAAGCAAAGAAACTGCTGTATCCCAAACACGGAATGGGTGAAGCAAGTGATTACTGATTATTAAGAAGAAATATGAATAAGCCGATTTAACAACACAAAATTTTAGACAAGACACATCTTAAAAACATGTTTGAGAAATTCCCAGAATCTCGAGCCAAGACAGCTGATTTCAGACTATGCCAGGACAGAGTTACATTATAAAGATTGTAACAGGTAGCTTTTTGTTAATGTCCAAATCTCAAAGATTACAATGTATACAAAATATTAGGGCGACATGGCCCCATCAAAAAAATTATAAAATTTTCAAACACAACAATAAAAAGTGTATAATTTTTAAAATTCCAAATAAATTGAACAGGCCAGGATTGGTGGCCTTGGCATTTGCCTGTAATCCCAGTTACTTGGGAGGCTGACAAACGAGAATTGTTTGAACCCAGGAAGGGAAGCAGTGAGCAGAGACTGTGCCACTGCCAGCCTGGGCAACATAGAAAGACTGTCTCAAAAATAAAATAAAAAAGGCCAGGCACAGTGGCTCACACCTGTAATCCCAGCACTTTGAGAGGCAGAGGTACGCAGATCATTTGAGGTCAGGAGTTCAAGATTAGCCTGGCCAATGTGGTGAAACCCTGTCTCTACTAAAAATATAAAAAATTAGCTAGGCGTGCTGGCAGGCGTGTGTAATCCCAGCTACTCAGGCGGCTGAGGCAGGAGAATCGCTTGAGCCTGGGAGGCAGAGGTTGCAGTGAGCTGAGATCACAGCTCTGTACTCCTGGGCGAGACTCTGTCTCAGGAAAAATAAAATAAATGAAATAAAATAAATTGAACAATATTCACGAAGTGAAATAGGAACACAGACAATTACTAAAGATCAGAAAAATGAGGATAACACCAAAAAATATTAAAATAGAAAACAAAAATTGTGGAAGTAAAAAATACAAAAACTAAGTGAAAAATTTCTTAAAAGAAAGAAAAAATGGTGTAAATATGAAAAAGCTGAAAAGGTGAACAAACTAGGATACACCCAAACATATATTTATAACAAACACATATATAAACAAAATTTCAAAAATCACAGATCAGAAAAGAATTTTGGGAGCTGCAAGATAAAAATGATGGCCATTTATAAGCACAGTCTTATGAGATAATCAATAAATTTATCAAAAAAATGTTTGCAGGTCAAAAGGAAACTGTGATATTGTTATTAAAGTTATAATAATTAAAAAAAAAAGCTGTTAAGTGGGAATAGTACCATCAGCAAAACTGTACCACCAAATAAAAAGAAGTCCTTCCAAAATAACCAAATGCTGAGAAAGTATATTGGCACTGCATATGCCCTATATATCAAGGATGCTGAAAGGAGTTTTTTTCCACAGAAAATAACATAATGCAAGAAAACAACACATAATCATATGAAAATATGTAAATTTCTGGAAAAGATACGCACATACATAAAAATGGAATTTCTTAACATCATAATGGTACAGAAAACATTTTTAATTCTCTAAAATTTAAAAGATAAAAGTATAGAAATTATTAACATCTGTTAATGAATAGACAACATAAAGAAAGATATAATTAGTAAAATCAATAACAAAGTTGAAGGCAGATGTAATAATGAGGAATTTTTGTATGCAACCGGAGTTAATTTTTTACCACATTAAAATATATTGTTGGATCTTTTAGAGGTTTTAGGTAATCCCCCAAGGTACTAAGAAAACATCTATATAGATACACAAAAGAAAGCAAGAAAAAAACTCAAAGCATGTCAATACAAAAATCAAAAAAGTTTAAAAAAGAGAAAATGAGACACAAAGATACAAGAATCAAAACAATTATTTTATTAACAGTAAGTTTTTCTCTTTCAGAAAACTATTTAAATATATATAATTATCTTTCCAATCGAGAGACATACTTTTAATAAAGAGGTTCATTAAAAAACTTTAAAAATCGGCCGGGCGCGGTGGCTCAAGCCTGTAATCCCAGCACTTTGGGAGGCCGAGACGGGTGG